ATACAGTAAAGGAGTCATTAGAAGATTAATCTAGGATACAAGAAGACACAAACTAGTGTCAGCAGATTATAGAAGACACAAAACCAGTGTAGTATATAGTCTAAAAGATTAGCTAGCTCTACTTTATAGGAACAATAGTGAAGAGAGTTACTAAAGTCACTAGAGTAACATTACTCTAGAAAAAGGTATATAAGGAGGCCAGTTTGGCCCTCAAAAGATAGTTTTATCAACTTAAGTTACCTAGTACTTGGAAGTAGTCTACTACCAACCTACTAGGCTATACTTGTAGCTTGACTAAAGTAGGACTCCTCTACCCTCTTACTCTACAAGTCTACAAGTCTTACCCTCTATACTCTATTCTGTTACTATTCCTAAGGATTAGGACTAGTAAAGTGAGTATATCTTACACCTTCCCTGAGTGTAGAGAGGTTAGGGGAAAATGCTCAATTTTAGCAAACTTAAATATGTATTATACTTATATGTATATTCTGTATCCTAGTTAGAATTCAATATGTAAATTAATAATCAAGCTATATTCTTCATTTAGACTAGTTTATAGTATTGTACAATCAGTTTTAGGACTAGGAAAACTCATATACATGAAATATAGGGAAAACTCACATATTGTGTTGTATCTTACTCAATTTTTGCTCATTTTACTTTATTTTTTCTGGAATATGAAAGATACTTCAAAAGTATAATTTTTACAACTTAGATCATGTAATTTGGTTAGATATTAGTTGAGTTATAGTAGATTTTGTATTTAAGTGTACTTAGTGTGACAAAAATCACAAATTGCACGTGTGACAATATTTATGAAAACGACAGTAAGCTAGAAATTGGAAAAATAAGGAGTTAGAGGAATGACTAATTTAAGCATGTTTTTCACCACTCTTTCCCCCTTACAGTCAGAACAACAAAAGGTTTTGGTCTGAAATTTTGTATACATGTAGAACAGTATGATATTTACTTAGTATGATTTTTTTGGATTTTTTGAGTGAGTCTGTAACATGTTATACATGATTTGTTGAATATTTTATTGAATTCTACTTATTTTCATACATTTCTGTCTCTTTCTGAATAAATTGCAAGCTGTAACTCTGGCACTCTATCAAAAAATCTACAAAAATCATATTAAGTAAATATCATACTGTTCTACATGTATACAAAATTTCAGACCAAAACCTTTTGCTGTTCTGACTGTAAGGGGAAAAGAGTGGTGAAAAACATGCTTAAATTAGTCATTCCTCTAACTCCTTATTTTTCCAATTTCTAGCTTAATCCAATACCAAACTTAAAATTTATTTTCAGATTCATTTATTACTTTACATAGATTGTGTATGAATTTTTTGAGGCCAGAGACTTACAATTGTGTTTAGAAATTGTTAAATTATAGCAAATAAGGGTGGTGACAGACACTTTTGGTAAGGGGGTGTACATATTGAATATTATGTTCAATTTGGTATAAAATACTATATATTTTATGGCCCGGCAGGTGAAGGTCTTTTGTGGATCCCACCTAATCTTCGTCTTACACTTTGGAGGCTAAGGAATACAGCTGTGCTCACTGCTCACTGCTTAACTGCACGTTTTTTACGAAACTAGAGTTCAAGAGCGTTGCACATGGCGAGAACTGGCACGAAAGCTTCAATCCAGCAATTGAGACAATGATATCCCTGCGTGCCCACCAAAATTTTGTTAGAGTCCTCCTGTTTATGTTCGCTCCTCTATCGATGGCGTTCTTTGCCTCCGTTATCTGCAATACATTGAAACTTCTTAGTTATTTACTATCATTTGCACGTCATCGAACCTTTGTGACAAGGGCTTTTGTTCATGTTTTCTAGCAATAGAGTCATAGTTGTAAGGTATTGGTAATCCGTTGACCACTCATCATAACATTCTACAAGTTGAGATTGGCAACTTCGGCCATCTCGACACGGACCATGGCAGCCGCCACGTCCTGGAAGAACGCCTCCTCACCTAACAACGCAACGATACCTGCTCTCTCAAAGGTAAGAAGTAATGATGGACGGAGGTGCGCTATGAAGATTTCGACACTGCGAGACTATGAAGTTATTAATTTATTAATACATTGAAGACGGCGGATGGAGGCGAGAAAGCGGACATACTTTGTAGTTTTCGAGAAGTTCGTAGAATATTTGGGCGGCGCTATTAGAAGGCAAGAATAATGAGCGAAAAATAGGAGAAAAATAGGTGGGTTTCTCACCTTGCATCGCAAGTCTCGAGATCCGCCAAATGGAAAACTATGACAGAGGCCTGCTCTCTACGTGGAGTGTCGGATGGATGACTTGGGTCGTGTCCGTATAGTTCTAATCGTCTTAATCGCTCTTCATGGAAGCAAGTGCAAAAGTTAGTATGATATCTGCGAGAATAAGCGGGAGTTGCGAACCCTTTAACTGAGCCGTGTTGGCTAGAGTTATTAGAATCAACCGAAAATAAGCACAACTATGGCATTAAGAGAAAAAGTAAAGGCGCGTACCAAAATCTAAGTTATCCCTTAAACGGATGATGAGAGCACCGGGAACGTCTTCCTCTGCCTCTGGGTATTCGTTAACAGGTTTCCATCTCGTAGTTCCTGGTATGCGGCCCTGTAACAAGTATTCGTTACATGCACAAAGGAAACCACGTCATGTTCAAAAAACTTACGAGTATGGTAAGGCGCGGCTTCGACGATTTGTGAACGACAAGCAGGAGCGAACATATGATACTGCAGACGATTCCGACTTCTACGTTCCAGAATAGAGTGGTGAAGAAGGTGATGGACATCAGGCCGAAGTCAGTCCATGAACGCATTCTACAGCCAGAAGGTTAGTTTGACAGCACGAAAAGTCACTTGAATACAGTGAGAACAAACCTCCAGAAATAAGATATATCATGCGGTGCTTCGGCAAGAATACTGAAAACGACTAGGAATACACTGCAGGTATGCATCAGTACATTGCACCGTCATTCACTATACGATACGCACATTGAAGCGAGCACGCAACGGGGCAGGTAGTAAAGGGCTGGCAGAAGGAAGAACGTCGCAAGGAGTACGAACGCAGAACAGATCAGAGAAGCCATCTGGGAGCGTCCTCCAACATCTCCGTTGATGCGTGATCTGTAGTGGTAATATTTATGCATGTCTTCATCAAGTGCTAAGGATAAAATGCTTACCTCGTAATAGACCCGAATGCTGGAAGCAGGCCAGGGACAAAAGATCCAACAATATTAGCGGCACCTAGTGCAACGAGTTCTCTGTTTGGAGATATGGAATACCCAAATCGGGATGCGTTTTGCTTCGCAGCGACAATACTATCTAGGTATCCAATCACTGCGATTAGAACTGCAGTTGACGTTGTGCTCTTCGCGTATCGTAGTGTTGCCTGATGCAACGGAAAGCGGACGAACGAGCGCTCGCTGGAAGTGATGGGGACAGAGCCGAGAACACTGACTCCAAGGTCGTCCCAGTCGAAGACGTTGCTGAGGATAGTAGAAGCTATGACCACGATGAGCACCTCCGGTAGTCGGTAAATGAACCAATGATTCTTGAAAAATGCTTTGAAGTAGCGGAAAAATACAAGTATGGCGAGGGCACCAAAGCTGATGATTGTTGTGGGCCTATGTTCATGTGAAGTGACGTTACGTATGAGGAAGATGAGTTTGTCTAATGTCGTCTCCGGATTGAGTGCATGTTCTAGCTCCGATAGGCCAAACATGGGAATAAATTGCTCTCTGCAGCACGGCGTCTCAGCTCTACATGAATTAACACCGTACGCATCATGAGTACGTACATGGATATGATGACGGCTATAGCGGTGATGAATCCACGTAATAAAGCCCGGCTCAGGAGTACGTCGATAAATCCCAGGCGAAAGAATCCTAACAAGAACGCAAATACTCCGACTTGCAAGGTCGTGATGGTAGAAATCGCAATACCAATTGCATCTGGATTATGCGGATGATCATGTGGGTCTGAATGTAATGCACCTTGGACAGTTTGTCCGATAAGCAACGACAAAGCTGCTTCCGGAGCTACATTTAGTTGACGCGAAGTTCCTAAAAGCGCATATACAATCCCTGGTATTGCTGCAGAGAACTTAATGGAATATAAGGAAATTAAAAATAAATCCTAGAAATAAATAAACGCACTAGGCCGGCTAATGGGCTAAGTCTTGCAAGAGAAGTCGCGTACGATATAGATTGAGGTATTAAAATGCAAGCAACGGACAGCCCGGCAAGGAAATCTCCACCCAGTCTATCAAGATCAATCAGTACCCGAAACATATGTCACGTCAAAAAGCCAACGCGCCGAAGCTCACAAAGAAATAGAGTAATTCGGAAGCCATGCAGTAAATGGTATATAATAATTTACTCTTGGCCATGCAGAACCTCTGATCAATGGTCGAAGTGCGTCTATGAAACAAGGTCAGGAATTTTCGCAAGGCAAATGAGAATGATTCACTTACTACGAGGATTCTGTTTGTACGACGGCTCACCGCGCTCGACAGCATCTTGAGTACTTGGAAGAAGAGCAGAGCGTTCTGAAAATGAACGAGCAGGGCTCGTCGTACCGGACTGCATGTCATGGATCAGGTCAAGGAGTGCAGTGTGGTCAGACGCTTACATTACATTAACACACCACGTGAATTGAATTGACCAATCGGCACGAGCGGGTTACTTACTGTCGATCACGCCGGAACTTGTGTTTGTATTGAATTAAAATTTAGCTTTCAGGGTCAACAGGCATACACAGTGGTAAATAAGAGGCGACTTCAATTAATTGGCAGAGAGACTTGCAGAAGGGCTTTGGCAATTTAGAGTAAGATGCCAAGAGTTATGCAAGTCTCTCAAAATTGAAGAGCTGGACTTGCAGAGATTGACATTTAATGCCCATGTTACATTACTCATGATTTTTGTTAGGTTGCAGTCAGACATTTCTTTATTTCAAACTCTGACGTGTCTGCAAGTGCCAACAAGTAGGTTCAAGCACTTGCAGACACTTGCAATCCTACCTCCATCACCTATTATTAGATTGTGCTCTGGATTAGGAAATCCCTAATTGCCTTATGTAGAGTTACTGTACTTGGAATGTCTCAGACTATTGGACTTTACTATGTAGTATATAAGGTAAACACTTGCTTAATGTCTCAACAAGAGAGAGAGTACTTGGAGCACTCCTACTATACTAGTTAAAAGGTTATGAGTCTTAGTGCCCATTGAATGCTTCCACACACTTGCTCTTACAGAATGCCTTTGCCTCCTGCTAGACCACCAAGCCCTAGACCTCCCTCTCCCCCCAAACCTATTATAATGTTGTCTACAATGTATACCTTTGTTAACACTATGATGAAGGACTCCAACATTACAAAGTTCTTTGAGGGAACAGAAAAGTTGGCTGGTGTAAAGGGATACAAGATATAGTGCTTATACATACACAGTACACTTGCTACTATGATGCTCTCAGACCATCTAGAGCACAATCCCCCTTCCTCTAATAATGCTGGCATATGTACAGGTAATGTTTTGTATCATTGTATAACAAAAACAATAACTGATACAATTTATACAAACTTTACAACACATACAAGTGTTAGAAGTCTTATGAAGGTGCTTTCTGAACAATACAATGTTCAAACAATGATGACACATGCTGTAGACATATCTATGTTGTTTATAGTAAAAGAGCATGTATTACAGTTTGATAAAATGTTAGACAACATTGAACAAATCTACAGGCAGTTGTCTGTACATAATAAAGCCCCTAATAATGATACATACATCTTAGCAATTAACCTTACTACTCCTTGTGAGTATAGATGGGTAGCAACAATGCTAGACAGGCAGATTACCTATTATAATCAACTACCAACAGTTACAGTAGCTCAGAAAGATGTTCTGACACTAGCTAAGTTGATACACAAATTACAAAACATATATACTAAGTATCATTCTCAGTACTCTTAAACAAAACAAGATACTGAATGAGACAGCCTACAAACAAAAGGCAAAAGTGTAACTAAAGGCAAAACAAAGCCTTATAATAAAGTTAAATGCTACAACTACAATAAGTACAGGCATATGTTAAAAGACTGTCAAAATCCTCTAACAAGCAAAACAATAGAAGCTCAAAAGAAAAAGCATAGGCAAACAGCTACTACTTCTACTACTACTACTATACTGTCTCAACCTACACTTAATACAGTAGTATTCATTAGAGATGATAATGAAATGGTATTCATTGAAGACATTAATAAAACACTAATGCTAGAGTCTACAATTGTAGAAGCCTCAGTATCAAGTTCTAGTAGCTTACCTGTTCAATCTGCTCTATCTACTGAATCTGCTCTATCTGCTGAATCTGATATATTTTCAGTATTCAAAGTACAAGAGGATAGTGTTATAGATGTAAGTAAATGACTTCATGAACTCATTTGACAATACAAAAGAAGTCATTAAGGAGTTCAATTACAATCCAAACATATGTATTAATACAATACATTACAATGATACTGAACTAATACATTGTATTAATATATTGGACTCTGGTGCAAATGTACACACTACTCTATACTTGTTCTGTCTTACAAATGTTCAGAACTCAACCCTAATAAATGTTACAATTGTGAATATATTGTTATTCATACTTAGCAAAAGTAGAGTAATGACATTTAACATAAAACTATAAGACAAAGCTGATGAGCATACTAAGGTGAATACAATTTCACTACAAAACATATACTATCATCCTAATCTGAACTTCACACTTGTTAGTGAAGCACTATTATACAAAGCAGGATATGTTTTAACAAAAACAAACAATGAATGTATTATTTATTCTCCTACTCATACAAAGATTAGTGAAATACATGTACAAAATAACTTGTATATGATAGTTTCTCATCATAATAAACAATCTATTAATACAATCACTATTGTTGATTTACATTGACAAATGGGTCATGTTAATTTTGATTACTTGCACAAACTCATACAAGAGTATTCTGAGATTATAAGTCAAAGGATAACAGACAATAAAAATGTACAGTGTACAGATTGTATTAAAGCAAACATACAATATAATGAAATACCAAAAATACAAACAACACCTCTTGTACAATCTTATAGAGATTATCTCTACATTAATATTTGGGGACCTGCCCTAGTACAAGCTTATAGTAAGTATGAATATCTTTTTACTATTGTAGATGACACTACACAATAGGTAACTATACTACCTATATAGTATAAAAGTAATGTATTAGATTGTGTTCTAGATTAGGAAATCCCTAATTGCCTTTCATAGAGTTACTACACTTAGAATGTCTCAGACTATCAGACTTCACTATGTAGTATATAAGGTAGACACTTGCTTGATGT